TTTTAAATAGGTACACGAACCACAATTGTTCCTATAATGATTGTGTCCTGCATACACGGACACAATCATTCTTGTTCATCGATTTGTTCATGTTTCTATGGCCTATTTTTTGACTTGATGCACTCCTCGGTATTTGAACAAAAAGCGTGGACGACTTTTTTATTTTTGTTGCACCCAAGTAAAAAATTGAGAACCATTGAATCACATTGAAAAGTTAAATGTGAGCGAATTCACGCAACCAAGAATGTGGAAACATGAAAATCATGTCGAAAAGTTCAATCTGAGGAAACTCAAAAGTACAGCTGTACAGCTGTGCTGTAGTTTTTTTCCGTGCATTTATCTTAATACAATTTTTTTCAGTATGCTGGATGTCTGGAAGGAGGAATGGGTGAAGAAGATCTGGGTGCAGAAGCAGGCTTCTTGATTTCCAAGTCGCGAAAATCCGGGACTAAACCACGTGCCTTGGATGAAAGCTGAGGCTTTAGGGTGGAATGGCACCTTGAAGGTTCGGACTGAACTTGATGAGCTTGCGAAATTTATGTTAATTCCTGCGGGGATATTTATACTATTACTCCCTGTACTCCTGTGTATATTTACGCCCAAATTTATACACTCGGGAGTGGGTTAGAACAAAATTCCTTCATTAACCATTCCATCAAAATCTGTGAGACCTTCGCCATGGGGTCCTGCATTGCGTCATGGGGCGACTGGCTGAATAAACTTTGTGCTAGTGGTGAGGATGAAGAGGGAGGAGAAAGCAAGTGAGTCTGCGGAAAATAATTTGTAATTTCTTGATGCAGAAGAAGGTACATGCTCGCTCTTCGAGCTACATTGTAACCATGTACAAGAGTGACTTCTTTGCGAGGAAAACCCAACTAAGCTTCAGCAATTTTTCTCTCTTTTCTGATGCTGAAAGTAATCGAATGCGACCCTTGAATTTTAGGGTTGGTGGGAAGTAGCTGTGAGGTACATTGCAAATACCGCGTTTAACGCAAAAAATCAGGATCATGCGTTAAAAACTGTCGAATCGTCAAACTTCACGATCATCTCTTGAAGAATTATACACTACAGTATAGGCAATTCCAAAGTCATTGCAATTTACCTAAAAATAGAATCGTGTAACGGTGGAAATCCCGTTACCGCCGTAATTGTTTCTGCTGGAATCTCGCATTGTAAACTAAAGAATTTTTCTGCTATTAGAGTGCTTTTCTTTTTCGATTTTGCAGGGAACCTTGTTGTGGGTATTTGCTCGACACGTTTGGGGAATGGGTGAGTCCAACGGAAGAGGGTTCTTTCATGCGCACCCTTCTGTGTCCGGTGTTCGAATCCGAATCATACAAGAAATTAGCCCAATGCGACAAATTGAAGAAGCTCGCTATGACTGTCGGCTTTCTGGGCTTTCTCATTTGCGTGGAGTCGTTTTTTGCCAAGCCGTGGTGGGATCAGGTCCAAGCGTAAGTTACGTTGTGATTGCGTACCCTACTGAATCCTCAGTCGCAGCGTGATTAAATACTGATGAATAATCCATGAAAATAACAATTGCAGTATTGTAAAAGCATATTCGAGACGATCGAAGTAGTTTGAGTAATGAGCAAAGTTTTCAAAGTAGCACTCCGCGTATTTCGGAGGTAACAATGAAGCGGAGAGAACTAAAGATTTTTTTGAAGTTTTAATTGCAATCGTGAATCATTTACGTCATTCATTATCGAAACAATCTATTGGCATGGAGAACGTCAACTTTCCTCAGTACACTGATCTCCAAATGTAATGTGCAGTTATTTTTTTCAAATTAGCACTTCTAAAAATCAGGGGTATCTCATATCTGGCATGGACTTCGTGATTTCGTTAGAAATGTCGCGTGCGTAACTCGAAAAGAGCAAACAAACCCTTCATGATGTTAATCAAAACATTGCGTTTTCCAAATTTATGCCAAGATTTTGGGGTTGAAGAAAAAGATTTGATTTTGTGTGTCTTTGTCCCCAGGTGTATCGGAGAAGACGCAACATGTCCGCAGAATTGGAAGATAATGGTGATCATGATGTACCTGAAAGCCCTGGCATTGAACGTCATGGGCATGGTCACAGCG